AGCATCTAGAACAGGGCCTGGCATGGCGGGGGGGAGGGGGGGGTTGCTACTGCAAAGTGTATTGAAAACTACAAATGCCTGGCATGTTTCCCAGGATAGAGGCAGGGACCAGGGCCATGCCTCTGGCTGGTTTGATGACCTTGAGTAGTCTGTCTACCCCAAGCCTCAATTTCCCCTCCTGTAAAACTCAGGGCACCAGGTCAGGACTCTTCACGGTTCCTAATTCTAACAGCTCAGTCATATAGCCACTCTGCTGTGACACTCGGCTTCCCCGGAGCACAGACCAGGGAGACTGAGGCACGAGGGAGCCCTTCTGCCTCAGCCCCACTCCTAGATGCCCTGGTGACTGACCACTGTTCATTTCCGTCTCCTCACCCCATCCCCAAATCTCCCTATGGGCTTGTACAGATCCCCTCCCTCCAGGCGCAGACCCTGGTCCCGGCCCACAGGGTCATCCTGGCAGGATCCCGGCTTCAGGACCCATCTCCTTTAGGGCACATAAGCTCACCTCCTCTCCCCTCGCCTCAGTTACTTCAGAAAAATGGGTATAACGCACCCCTCGTACAGAGGGCCGTTATCCTGATTGGCACAGTGCCTGGCCCAGCCCGGAGCTGAGATGCCCATGCAACGCACCAAGTTCACTGCCCCCCTCCCCAGTCTGGGTCCGCTGGGAAAAGAAATCTGAGTGCAAGACTGCCACGTAGTAGAAGTGGGGAGGTCCCGAGATAAAGCCCAGGCCGGGTCTTCCCGCGTGGGTTTCAGCCCCCTATCTCTGGCTCTGTCTTCCAGCCTGAGAGCGTAAAGGTCTAATCATCCTGACTTAGAAAGATGGCCAAGCCCCTGGGGCATGGCAGGGAAGGGGCGCGGGGGGGCATCAGCGTCCCCTCCCACGGGGGTCTGGGCCAGAGTCGGGAGCACTCTTCAGGATCTGACTGTGGCTTGGGACAGCCTCTTCCTCTCCGGGTTTCTGTCTCCCTGTATGCAGTGAGGGCTGGCGGAGGCCGAGTTCAAATCTGGGATTTAAAATGCTTAGTGTTCGGCCCGCATCCTGTCATTGAAACCACACAACTCCCCCGGAGAATGGTTAGTACTCTCTCACCGTACAAACGAGGAAACCGAGGGACAGAGAAGTTGCATTGCTTGTCAGCATGTCAGCGTGGAGGTGAACCCAAGTGACAGGTGGCTGGAGAGCGAGGACCCAGTCTCTTCTCTCCCTGCCCGGCCCCTCCCCCACTCCTGCAAGCCACCGGACCCCATCCTGGAGAAGGCCTGCTCCGCTTTCCCACGGAGAGCCTCAGCAGGTGCCGCCCCCCCCCCCCCCCCCCCCCC